ACTTGCAATTTCTTGCTTTCGAACTGCTAGGTTGGCAGGAGCTGGGACCAGAGATGGGTGCTCACTCCGTCATGCAGCACTAGGGTCTCGAACTACCAACCTTCCGGTCTGCAGTTCAGCATCTTAACCACTTGAGCCACCACAGCCCTTTCTCAAAAACTTATACTCGGTTCAGATTGAAAGGCGCTGAAAATAAGAAACCATGATAAAGTTACAGACATCCGCTGATAAACATGCACACTTTGCACCGTCGGCCTCCGTCGGCCTCCTATTTGACTGAGATCTGACGTATAAATCCAATCTCTTCTTCCGTGCGCCTCGGCATTTAGTCATGCCGGCCACATGACCATGGGAATGACTATGGACAGCACTGGCTCTTCAGCTTGGAAATGGACATGAGCACCGCATCCCTAGAGTCGGATTCAACTGGCTTTTGAGCAAGGGAAACCTTTACCTTTACCTAAGTTTTTGAGAGTCAAAGCTCTTAGACACAGGGAGCTGTGGCTCTCGAACGCTTATACCCAAGAAATCTTGTTCATTTCTCAGGTACTACTGGACTCAAATATAATATACACTCAGCTGAATGGTTTATTTACTTACTTGATTTATACCTTGCCTTTCTCCCTAACAGGACACCCCCCCCCCCAATGGTTATTCTTCTATTTTCCATTTTGTCCTCATAAACAATCCTAGGAAGTAATCTAAGCTGAGAGTGTGTGACTGTCCCAAGGTAACCCAGAAAACTCCTGACACTCCAACCACTACATCGCACTGCCTCTCTATCTGGTTCAACCTTTCTGCCTTTCTGACATGAAAAAGCCCCAGACTTGACTAGTGGCTGTTCCAACAAGCCAGCAGGAAGGAGCACAGCACTCTTAACATTTGGAGGAGAAGAGCTGCTGCGGGGGGTACAAAATAAGCAAAAAAAGGAGATTTCATAAGGATCTGTCAAGCTAAGGCTACAGTCCTAAGAGCTACTACTGGAGTGTGACTCCCACTGGAACCAGTTAGAATTACTTCTGAATAAACACAAATAGGTCAGGTATGTATGAACACCTACTTGGAGGTGAGTTGGGCTGAAAACAATGACACTTGCTTCTGAGCAAATATGAACAAAGTCTGGATTATAAATTCTCTTCCCTTTGATTAGTCCATTTCCTATTTGACTGAGATCTGACATGGACGTCTTTACTTGTACTGACTGCTACCTATTCAAAATCTTTTGATAATGCATTCACGTAAGTAAACTTAACTACTGTTCACTGGTTTTTGCAAGCTGGAATATAATACCCATTTTTAGAAGGGCAGAGCAAACCTCATGGAATAGACCTTCCCCATCCCACTGCAATCCTCTAAGCTCTTGAAATTCTACTTCTGGGTCACCAGGGAACTCTCACAGACAGCACTGGGGTCGGCACAGGGTGTAGATCAGCAGCCCCCCCCCTCAAGAGTTCCATTACGTCAGCAGAAGAGCACTTTTGGATCCAACTTATTGTAAATTCGATAAAGTAGTGCTTGTGACAGGGGGAAAAACTCTTAGGAATCAATACAAAGATTTCATCCACCTTTAACTTCACAAAAATTTGCTCCGCTCTCCTGTTTATGACTACAGCGGCTTAATGACAGCTCTCCTCTTATTCCAACATGGATGCATAATAATCAAGTATCCTGATATTTTACTATTCCCTTTCAACACCCAAGTTGATTCAGAGCCGCACGTTCTTCAGGTCCTTAGTTACAAAATAGGCCCTTCTTCCTCCACAGAACAAATATATCGCTAAACACAAAATACTCGGTTCAGATTGAAAGGCGCTGAAAATAAGAAACCATGATAAAGTTACAGACATCCGCTGATAAACATGCACACTTTGTGCTCTGACAGCATGATTACCGAGCACCACACTGTGCAGTATCAGCCCCCCGCTGTGCTCCCTCCGTCGGCCTCTGAGGCTGTGTGGTTTAATTTACAATCATCATTACCCCCAACAAAGGAAGAACAATTTGAGCTGCGGAGGTACTCGCTGCAAACCATTTCTTTTTAATGTTCTACAGAGCAACTCCGCATGAACACATTCCTGTGCGACGGCAGCCGGATGCCCTAAGTATCCCATGAGGTAGCAGCAGTAGCAATAACACTTTGTTTGCACAACGACAGATTTTTAACAACATGAAATAATTAAAAACAGTTGCGCAGAATGAATTTCAAGGATTTGAAAAAGGAAACTGACATAGCTCCCCCCTGAAACCAGGCAGGCAATGGCTTTTAAGACTGCGGTAATCTAAGCGAGTCCTTGGCCTCTGGTCAGCATGAAAGGGAAAAGGAACTGGGAACCACCAAAAATCAGGGGAAGGAAGGGGTTCTACTGGCAGGCAACTATGGGATGCTTCTGGACAAAAATGGGCTTCACCTATCAGCTCATTCAGCACCCTGGACAGCTCCCTGTAGGCACTCAGGCAGGAAAAACAAAGAATGGCCAGTGAAAAATGACTGCAACTTGGGAAGGAAAGCTAATCCCCTTACTTGCTTCCCCACATGAAATGTACAAATGCAGCAACAGCAGATTCCAAACAAAAGCAAATAAGTTTATTTGGATATAAAAAAAGGTTGGGTTGGAATTAGTAGTGATCTAACTGCCCAAAGGTCTCATTTTATTTATAAAGCCATGTATGCCACCTTTCTGCCTAATCAAGGGCACCAAGGTCTCTAACAGTTAAAACATAAAAAGAGATCTTAACAACAGTTCTTAAGAACAAGTAAAACCAAAACTAAAAGGCATAAAATAGTAATTAAAACAGAAAAGAGTAAAAGAGCACACAGAATCATCATTAAAACACAGGGTACTAGGAAGAAAAGATCACTGAGTGAATTACCAGATGAAACACACACAAAAAAGCCTTCGCTCACCGGCAGAAGATAGTGGCAGAAGAGGACAGATGAATATTCCTTTAATTTGGGTAAAAAGTTCCATAATTTTGGTGCCATGACTGAGAAGGCCCTCTCCTGGGTTGCCGCCCACCTGATGTCAGAAGGCAGGGACACCTGAAGAAGGGCCTCAAAAGATTACTGTAGAGGTTGGGCTGGTTCAGATGCCAGCCTTCAGGTATGCTGGTCCCCAACCATACCGGGTTTTAAAGGTCAACACCTGCACCTTGAACTGGGCCCAGAAACAAACTGGGAGCCAGTATAGACGGGCCAAGACTGGAGTGATACGGTCCTTTACAACCCACTCCAGTCAATATCACGGCTGCAGCATTCTGTACCAATGAGCACATTTTCAAGGGCAGCCACACGCAGGCAAAACCTCAAACGTAAAAGGGAAATACATACATAAACGTATCAGCTATTTAGATAAACTCCCCAGCAGTTGCAAGTACCTGGTTGTCAGCGTAATAAGCACTGGAATTGAGCCCTCCTTCCTCCTCCAACGATGGTCAAGAACAGAATAAAGGACAATGATTTGGACCGACTTCACACAAGAGCTGCGCCGCGGTCGCGCCTCCCTTTGCCCCGCTTCTATTGGTCAATTTCCCACTCGAAGCTGCGTGGCCGCGTTTTGACTCGCGGTTTTGTGATCCTCAAAAAACAGGATCACAAAACTGCGGGGAAAATCGAGCGAAGCCACGGGTTAAAACGCGGCTGCGTGGCTTTGAGTGGGAAATTGACCAACAGAAGCAGGGCAAAGGGAGGCGCAACCGCGGTGCAGCTCTTGTGTGAAATCGGGCTTGGAGTCTCCTTTCCTAGATGACTTAAATAATGGGACTCAGTAATAAAGGACAATGATTTGGACCGACTTCACACAAGAGCTGCGCCGCGGTCGCGCCTCCCTTTGCCCCGCTTCTATTGGTCAATTTCCCACTCGAAGCTGCGTGGCCGCGTTTTGACTCGCGGTTTTGTGATCCTCAAAAAACAGGATCACAAAACTGCGGGGAAAATCGAGCGAAGCCACGGGTTAAAACGCGGCTGCGTGGCTTTGAGTGGGAAATTGACCAACAGAAGCAGGGCAAAGGGAGGCGCAACCGCGGTGCAGCTCTTGTGTGAAATCGGGCTTGGAGTCTCCTTTCCTAGATTACTTAAATAATGGGACTCAGTCCACCCATTGCTTTAACTCCAGTGGTAAAGTGCGGCAGAACCTGCCCCTCACTTGGTCACGTGGGTTTTTTTCCCCAAGAACCTATCTAAACCTGTGAAGGAGACTGTATGCAGGTCATTCTGGTACTTGGCTGGGTTACTGGAACTCTCAGAGTTTGGGATGCCTGCCTCCATCTTTCTGGAATGCCTTATCCGCTGGCTCTTTAAGCTTTTCTGCCAGCTGGCAACAACTCGGGGTTTTAGTAACACAGACAAAATGGTCCATCTTGGCCAGAGGGAAAGGGAGGGGTGCCCGGCCTTTCACCACAGAGGAACCCTGCAAAGGCTCAACCACTTAAACATGCACACACATGCAACATGTTCGTTCACTTGCATTTTTAAACATACCATCCAAGATAGACATGTTCTTCGTAGAAGTGGATCCCGGACTGTAGGTTCTACTGCTACTTGTCTGCTGTTGACCTGTAACCCCAGTGGGAAAAGCAAAGCAGACATTTCAATTTCCTCCTTCCTCTATCAACTAGAGAGCCCGTTCTGGTACATGGTGGGTGGAGTGTGCCCAGCCTCAACTCTTCACTTAGCCACAAAGCTCACAAAGTGACTCTAAGCCACGGCAACTCACCCTGAGCCTGCCGCACAGGGCTCCGGGGGTGTGTGCAGGTGGCTGGAGGAAAGACCCCAAGTACAGCCCTCTCCTCTCCTTGAGGAAGGGTGGGATAGAGGTGTAATAAATAGTAACGGTGGCTACGCAAACCAGTCAAGTATGAATTCCTGTTGCCTCACTGTATAAAGGCTGCGGATAAAGGGAGGGGTGCCCGGCCTTTCACCACAGAGGAACCCTGCAAAGGCTCAACCACTTAAACATGCACACACATGCAACATGTTGGTTCACTTGCATTTTAAAACATACCATCCAAGATAGACATGTTCTTCGTAGAAGTGGATCCAGGATTGTAGGTTCTACTGCTGCTTGTCTGCTGTTGACCTGTAACCCCAGCGGGAAAAGCAAAGCAGACATTTCAGTTTCCTCCTTCCTCTATCAACTAGAGAGCCCATTCTGGTATATGGTGGGTGGAGTGTGCCCAGCCTCAACTCTTCACTTAGCCACGAAGCTCACAGAGTGACTCTAAGCCACGGCAACTCACCCTGAGCCTGCCGCACAGGGCTCCTGGGGTGTGCGCAGGTGACTGGAGGAAAGACCCCCCAAGTACAGCACTCTCCTCTCCTTGAGGAAGGGTGGGATAGAGGTGTAATAAATAGTAACAGTGGCTATGCAAACCAGTCAAGTATGAATTCCTGTTGCCTCACTGTATAAAGGCTGCGGATTGCAACTAAATAAGTTATGCAGTTCCGCAGGGCCTGCAAGACGGAGCTCTTCCACCAGGCTTATGAGTAGGAGCCGCCACGGCCACTTCCACCACCGCTTCTTTACTGAGAGAGACCACTGGGAGGGTGGGGTAACATCTTTCCATCACCCCAGCCTTCCCCCCTGTGCGCAAGATGTTAGGAGTCTATTTATGCATATGTAGAACTGATTTTAAATTGTTTTAATCTTGTATTTATATTTGTAATTTGTATACTGAATGCACCTGGTGCCTTATGTGAGCCGCCCTGAGCCCGTTCGCGGGGAGGGCGGGGTATGTCATAAAATAATAATAAATAATAATAAGTGGGCAGGCAAGAAACAGAGCCCTTAAGTCAAATCCCTTTCAGAGCCTCTGGGGCATAATGGCAAACCTGGAGTTTCTGAACCACAACACTTGGTTTCAATGGCTGGCACCCCAATAGCTACTTTGGGCAAGTCCCACAAACCCAAGGTTCATGACAGGGCATCTGTAATGGCTACAGACCCCAAAGAGAACATATGAGCAAGCATCAGACAAATGGGGAAATCCTCTGCAAGCCTCTGCAGTCTTTTTCTTGGAGGATGCAAATGTCATCTTGGAAAAGTAAAACGGAGGATATTGTCAAGGTAATGGGATACCTGAAGCTGTGAACACCAATTCATTACACACTGAAGCAACAGAAGATTACAGATTATCTGCATTGGGTTTTTTTTTCAGAGCCCTGCAAAGGAAAGGTATCATATGGGGAAGCGGCTTCCTTGGAGTGTGGAAATCACAGTGTTCTTGAAAGCTTCAATCAGCATTAGAGTGGCAGCTCAAAGACCTTCCTGACAATAAAAAAAAAGCTACAGCATTGGTCACCAGATTGAAGGTCAACCATTCTGATGCTGGGGCTGAGACAGAAGAGCCAACACTGAAGAAAAACAGTAAGATAAGAAGAGCCCTGCTGGATCAGACCAGTGGTAGATCTAATCCAGCATCCTGTCTCACACAGTGGCCAGCCAGTTCCTCTGGAGGGCCAACAACAGGGCAGAGAGGCTGAGGCCTTCCCCTGACGCTGCCCCCTGGCTCAGGGATTCAGAGACTTAGTGCCTCTGAATTTGGAGGTTCCCCTCGGTCACCACGGCTAGTAGCCCCTGATAGACTTATCCTCCATGAATCTATCCAGAGGTTCCCAAACTTATTTGGCCTACCGCCCCCCTTTTCAGAATAAAAATTACTTGGTGCCCCCCTGGAAATCTACCTTCAAGAAGTGGACAAAAAGATGAAGTTTGTGGATCTGCACCTGGATCGTTCCAGCACACCCCAAGGGGCGGTATTGCTCACTTTGGGAGCCAGTGAAGAGCTTTTTACTCCTGTGGCCACCACTACATCCTCTGGCAGCGAATTCCACATTTTAATCACTCTCTGAGTAAAGTAGTATTTCCTTTTGTACGTCCTGAACCTACTGCCCATCAGTTTCACTGGATGCCCCTTGAGTTCTAGTATTTTGGGAGAGGGAGAAAAATGTCTTTGTTACTCTCTCCATCCCATGCATAATTTTATAAACCTCTATCATGTCCCCCCCTTAGTTGTCTATTTTCTAAACTGAAAAGTCCCAGACCTTTCAGCCTTTCCTCATATGGAAGGTGCTCCAAACCCCTAATCATCTTGGTTGTCCTGTTCTGTGCTTCTTTCAGCTCTGCCATGTCTCTTTTGAGATATGGTGACCAGAACTGTACCCAGTATTCCCAATCCCTTTCCTGATAATCCCTAACACAGAGTTTGCCTTTTTCACTGTTGCAGCACACTTGGGTTGACGCTTTCATCGAGCTATCCACGACGACCCCAAGATCTTCTTCCTTTTCAGTCTCAGCAAGTTCAGATCCCATTAGCCTACATTTGAAGCTGGGATTCTTTCTCTCAATGTGCATCACTTTACACTTACCAACGATGAATTTCATCTGCCACATTGTTGCTCACTCACCCAGTTTGTGGAGAACCTCTTGGGGGTGCTCCAACCCCCTAATCATCTTGGTTGTCCTGTTCTGTGCTTCTTTCAGCTCTGCCATGTCTCTTTTGAGATATGGTGACCAGAACTGTACCCAGTATTCCCAATCCCTTTCCTGATAATCCCTAACACAGAGTTTGCCTTTTTCACTGTTGCAGCACACTTGGGTTGACGCTTTCATCGAGCTATCCACGACGACCCCAAGATCTTCTTCCTTTTCAGTCTCAGCAAGTTCAGATCCCATTAGCCTACATTTGAAGCTGGGATTCTTTCTCTCAATGTGCATCACTTTACACTTACCAACGATGAATTTCATCTGCCACATTGTTGCTCACTCACCCAGTTTGTGGAGAACCTCTTGGGGCTCTTCATAGTCAGCCTTGGTTTTCACCATCCTGACTCCCTTGTGTTTCCCTTTTCAGCCTTTTATCTATTCCCCTCATTTTTGTGAAATCCCCTCTTTTGAAATCTAACGTGACAGTCATGGACTGTAGAGGTAATTTGCCATTGACCTGAATGCTGAACTTAATAGCATTGTGGTTACTGTTCCCAGCTGGTGTGACAACCTCTACATCTCTCACCAGGTCTTGAGACCTGCT